CAGAGTCTTGTCTTGAAATCTAAACGTAACGATACGTTACGCGCGTCGCGAGAACCGAGTCAAATAACATCCGCGATACCGTCGCCGACCGGTTTACTCATAAGTTACGAGCGATAACTTTAAAATATATTCATTTAACTAAACAACTGTATTAATTAAATGAAAGTTACAGTTACTAAAAAGCATTGTAATCTTTAGTAATAAATAATTATATAAATAAAGGGGTACAACATTTGTAATCAACTATCAAATTGTTAAATAAAAAGGGTTATTTTAATAAAAGTGTGGTGCAGTGAGTGTTTGTTCAACGACCTTTTACTATCCTCGTCTTTCCTCGTGGGTTCCAACCCTTTGAGCGGATCGAATCCCAAAATAATATCTTATTGCACCGAGAGGTACAACACTTCCAATAATAAAGATGTATTACGTTAAAGTAGACAATATGGTAAACAATTTAATAAGAATTCTTTTAAAATTATATAAAAATATAAATAGGGCGTAGAGCCAATTTAATCTAAAAATTATTTTAATTCATATATTAATACAATAATACAAATTCAGACGTTTCGACACCGATCGGGTCATTTTCGATGATACAATAATATTCATTAAAATTAAATTATCCTTATACAATTTTCATAATATTAAAAAATCAAAGATTCCGTGTATACATTTTGAACGTTGGCATTAATATGTGTTTTTATCTTTGATCCTTGTCAAAAATAAAAGAAAATAAAAATTGTGATAAATCCATGTGTTACGTCCAAGCCCCAAGATTCTTTATTGCATAGGAAATTTTAAGGATTGAGGAGGGGGGCATGGGAGGACGCAACTGACACCGCTCTTGTGGCAGACGCTTCAAGACGCGTGCCACAAGTCGGAGACGCAATAAGGTCACAGATGTGGGTCAACGTCAACGTGCGACGCTATTACCCAGTCCTGCGACTGTGTCTCCGTCGGTCCCTTTTTAGATCAAGGAACTTAATCCTTTAGATCAGGGATCGGACCGTGCGACTTAGTGGGATGAGGAATGAGTCGAGGGAAGTTCTGAATAAATTACAGGAATTTAAACGTAAAATAAGATTTTTATTTTTTTTGCATGGTGAACAATTTAAAAATAAACTATTAGTTAATCTATCAATACGAGCTTAACATTTCTATGAATTATTTTTAATATTTGTACGCGTTTTTAATCATAAGATACGGCTTGTACGTGTATGATGTGGAAGGTTCTGATGAGGGGAAGGGAGATTGAGTATTGA